TGATTTTCTCAATTAAGGATTTCATTTTAAAAATTGAAACAGAGTTTTTGTTCTGCCATGCTTAATTTACTTCAGTTTGGGACACAAACAAGATCTCTTCTGATGGAAACCTGGGCTCTGCTGAGGACAGACTGTCCCCTGCTATGGGCAGGCCCTGTTTTCAGAGGTGTTCTGTGTGTTTTAGAGGAGGTTTCAATCATAACATCAAAAAGACCCTGGAGTTAAAAAACAAGCAATGTGATTTCTTGAGTCAGACTGTTCTGAATGACAAATTAGAAATCACAAAACTGTTTTTCTTTATCAAGCAGCACACAAGCAATTAAACTCCCCAATCCCTGGCCTGCTGAGGAACACTGTGTTCAATTTTCCTTTAATTTTTTCACAGTCATAGATGGAAATACATCTTAAAGCAGTAGCCAGCCACACTGAGAGACTGGTACTCCAGTGGGATGATGGTATAACTTTCCAGAGAGTGTCAATAGCTTATTAAAATTTCAGCTTCATCACCCCCAGGGTTCAGCTCCATCTTCCACCCTGTTTTAGATGGTTCTTTAGTCTTTTTTTTTTTTTTAAATTTTTAACCGCATCAGAGCACCTTGCCACCTTTACTGATTAATCCTCTGGATCCCTGCAGGGTAAGGAAGTATTACCAAGTCTGTTTTTCAAACTAAGGAGGAGTTTGCAAACTAAGATATTGCAAAATAGATATCTTGTTGCACAGAACATGACCAGGGACACCCAGGCTTGGCAGGCATGCAGGGAGGCAGGAGCTCCATGGGCTGTAAAATAACTTCCCCCTCTATTTCTAGGGGATCACCCAGGTTTAATAACTCACCTTATTACTTGCTGTTGACTCCCCTCAGAATTTACAATAAATATGAACCTTAAGACAAACAGAGCAAAAATCAATAACCAGAGAAGAAAGAGGAACCCCATCTCCCCAGGCTGTCACCCACTGCCTGACAGACACAGCCACAGCTGCCCACCGCTGACAGACCCTGCCCAGGGCTCACAAACAGAGGAGGGAAAATTCCTGACACCAGACAGGTGAGTTGCACCAGCAAGAAGCCATAAATAAAGATGGATTCTGGTAATAAAAGAACCTGTGATGATCTGTGAGGCTTCAGAAACAGTCCTTGGTCATCCCAAACATCTGATACTGGCAAAATTAATGTAGGGAGAAGGAGGGCGATGCCAGAGAATTTCTGCCTGAGTTCAAGACTTTTTCAAGAGGTGATGGGGACCCCCAGCCACTGCTGGTCTGAATTCCCTACAATGAAGTTAACATTGCAGTTAAATGGGAAGTTTTGCAGCATACAGTGGAACACGCAGGAGGGTTATACACACAGGTGGGATATCTTTTGTGCAGCAGCCTGGAGAAAGACTCCCTTTAATCCTTTTGAGAAGAGACATGAATAGGAGACAGGTGAGAAGCACAATTTTTCACAGCCTCCCCAAATCTCCTTCTGATGCCCAGAGGATCTATTCAGGATGGGACTGATACTGCCTTTTATTCACATTGCAAGTTGGTGAGGGACTGCTAACACCAGAAACAAACCATATTCAGAACTGAAACCTTGCAGTGAGTTTAATCCCTTCATCCTTTCTTTTCTTACTAAAATTCATCCCCCAATAATTGGGGTTAAACTCTGGCCACACAGACCCAGTGAGCAGCACACAGCCTTGTTACTGCACATTTCTGTCCTTGGACTTGCCTCCCTGCCCCAGGGAGCACCAGGCTGGACCAGAAGCAGCCCCAGGGAGCATCCTGGTGCTGCAGGGCCAGGACTGATGTGCTCCTGAGCCAGCACATGCAGGCAGCACCACAGTGCCCAGCCGAGGGCTGAGCTGGCAGCCCTGAGCTGGGGGGAGCTTTTCTCCTGCTGCAGAGCCCAGCCCAGCTCCACGGCCCCGTTTGTTCCCAGCTCAGCTGAAAAACCAGCACTGTTTGACTCAGGATCTGTTTGAGTGTAAAGGAGGTACCAAAGTCAACCTTTCTCTGCAATTAAACCTTTTGCTTTTTCTTCCAGAGCACCTCCTGCCCGTGTTCTCCATGGGTGGATGTATGGAAGCTGCGTCCCCAGGGGGGTCACTGGATGCCCACCCACATCTCCTGGCTGTGTGAAACTCCATCAAGCTGTGCTTTGCCTTCTGAACACACCAAGAAGGTGACTGCACAGAGAAAATTACAATTTTGGTCAGGACCCAGGGAACCCATGCATGACCACACACAACCTTTCACCGAGGGTGAAGCTCTGCACCCTGCAGAGCCCCTCAGAAGCCAGTGAAGGCAGGGCAGGGAGGCTGGGATGCTCCCACCACCCAGGTAACAGCCAGACTCACTCCCCTACACCCACTGGAGCACGGGCAAAGCTTACTGGGAGGGCAGGAGGTGTGTGGTGCTCATTGCCCATCCCATGGCTGGGTGAATCACAGCACCTCCCAGCCTGGAGAAGAGCAGAGGATCTGGATGCAGCACTGACCACACACACACAAGCTCCCTTTATAGAATCCCAGAATGGTTTGCGTTGGAAGGGACCTTAAGATGACCCAGTTCCACCCCACTGCCTCAGACTTCTCTGGAAACTTCCTAAATGCTCCTGCTTTAGCTGGTGCAAACATGTCCTGAGAACCTCATGGTAGAAGTTAGTTTGAAATAACACACACAAGCTCTTCTGAAACAAAACATTTTCATGACTTTTCTGCACTTGAGCCAATTTCTTCAGGCATCCTGCCCCATATTTAAGAACCAAAGGCAAGATCCCCACATTAGGTGTCTAGTGCTAAATTTTATGGTCCTGCACTTAAAAATATGTTCCTAAATATCTGCAACTCAGGCACCTGGAAATAAGTATTCGCCTTTGGAGTGAACAGAAAAGGAAATAATCCCTGTATGTTATTTTTATTTTCTTTCCTTTATATGGTTTTAAGCTGCTTTTATGCGGCACTGGAAAGTTACAGCCTGTGATTTGTTGCATTCTGGTCTGCTAATAGAAACATCCCCCTGACTGCTGCTCACTCTGCAGAGCAGGAGGATCGTAATGCAGATTGTAAATGGTTGCATTACGGAGAAAGATAATGTTTCTTTCCACTTTCATTTCCCTGGGTTGGTGTTTATCGTGGTAGGGGTTGCGTAAGCACATGAGAGAGACATCATGCATTATTTACCAGGCTGGAGCTGGGGAAAGGCTCCAGCCTTCCAGAGTGTGGATCAACGCCCAGCAATTCCCACCCGCTAAGATTTGTGCTGTGTGTGGTGGGAGCTGGGCTGGAGGATTGTTAAAGCAAACAGGATCATCCTGCCAGCCTGGAGAGCAGCAGGGGATGGGCTGAGGGGCACAGGCTCTGTTCTCCCTCCGTTCAGCTCTGGACAGTTTATGTCATTATTTACTTCACACCTTGGCAAGACTGGACCAGAGCTGCCACCGAGTCACCACAACCATCAACCAACTCCTGCAGGTCTGCTGGGGCTCCAACACACCTGGACAAAACTTCTTGCTGTTGAACGTAGCTGAGGGCAGACAAACCCAGAGGTGGGGGTGACACAGGGGGAGGCAGAAGCCTTTCCAGCCCCAGGATTGTCCCCAGGATGCCACCAGGGCCAGCGATGCTGACCCAGTTTCTAAGCAGGACAGGAAGTTGCAACACTCTAAAGTTTATTATCATTAAACTCTAGCCAGTGTCAGAGGCTCTGTGTTTGTCCTTGCAGTGCTACTGCCAGTGCACATAAAAGCTAACAAAATCAGCCACTAAATGCTGGCAGCCTTGGGAAAGAATTAAAAAAATCCCCAAAACCGAGAAACAAACCCAGTGAAACTACTAAATAAGGAATAAGTTAATGAGGAAAAATTAAAAGGAACTGAAGACTTTAAAAACTCTTCCAAATTAAGGAGAACAAAGAGAAAGGATCAGCTCTTATTTTTGCAATTAAGGTGTTATTTATGGCAATTTAGCTGTTTTAAGATTAAGCCTGGATACAGTGCCACAGTAAATACATCTGATTTACTCCCAAGGCTTCTCACCAGTTTGTATATGAGCTCCAGCCAGCCAGCCAAAAAGCAAGAGGAGTTCAGAACTCCCTGTGTGCACACAAAGCCTGTAAAACACCCCAAGGATTGCTCCCCATGCTGGGCACTGGAAACAATCCCAGCACTGGCACCAGAGCTGAGACACGGCCCCCTCAGGGCAGGATCCTTCCAGGAATGAGAGAGAACACGGTGTGGGAGCAAAAGGGAAAAATAAAGATTCTGGCTCTGTGTCTTCATGCAACCTCCCTGTGAAGAGGGTGGAAAGAGGGTGCTCAGGGGGCACCCCCGTGTGTGAGGGCAGGGATGCAGCCCCATGAGAGGTTTGGGGGCATTTACTGGGCAGAGCAAACAGCTCTGGCCTTTGCCCTGTCCCAGCAGTGAGGGAACCATCCTGTCCCTGGACTGTGCATCCTCCCCCAGGGAAATGCTCCCCACGGGCTCAAAGGAGGGATGGAGGCTAAAGGTGCCAAGGAGCCCCTGGCAGAGCTCTTCTGCACCGCACTTCTGTGCAGGGAGGAAACACATCAATGGCCATGACATCCCTCTGCATCTTTTGTTGCATTTCCCTCCTATTACAGAGTTGGAAACATCTGCAGAGAGCCTGTATGTTAAACATTAAGACTGTGCACACTGTCTTAGGATTCAGCCCCAGATGCCTTCTTGGTTTTCCTACATATTAATAAAAACAATAAAGAAAATAAATAAAAAAGGATGTAAAGCTTTGTTAAACTCAAAAACAGTTCAGAGAGGAGAGAGCTGAAGTTGGGATGGTGCTGGGAAGACATTCAGCCTTGCCATGCTGCTGCTCGGAGTCCCCTCTTTGAAGGAGGCATGGAAGGAGACGCTGCAACATGAGAGTTCAAACTCTGGCCCTGTTGATTTTTCCAGCCCCCGTGGCTGCCTGCCTCAGCATCCTGCTCTTTGAACCCACAGGGTAAACAGGTGTGGGCAGGAGATGTGCTCCCAGAGGAGCACTGGGGGCAGGCAGGAAAAGCCCCTGCTGCCATCCTGGAGAGCAGCATGGGGCACTCAGAGCACTTGGGCTGAAAAACGGGAAGAACAGGGAAAGAGGAGCAAAAGTCAAGAAAACCTTCCACAGAGGAAGACCTCCTTGTGGATGACAGGGTCCCCAGGCCTTGTAAGTAAACACACAGGTAATGGCTCTCCTGAGGATGGATGCAGGAGGATGTGAGCAGGAATGTGACAGAGAAGTGTCAGCTTTCTACCAGCCCAGCAGAGCTGCTGGTGGCACAAGGGTTTAACTAGAGCACCTGGAGCTTGGCAGGACATGAGGAACGTGCTGACCAGGGCCTCAGAATGTGTCAATTTGACTTGATTTTATTCAGATCTAACTGACCAGAAGATTCCTCTTCTCTTCATTTGCCCTCTCCCAGCAGAAACATTTATTATGCTAAGTGAAATGTTTAACCACTGGCACTGTTGGCTGCAACAGCTCATCATAAGCAGCTTTAGCATTTGCTGGGATCAGCACCCTGGGGCTGGAGGTGGTGTTTTCCTCTGCCCAGTTACTCTTCCTCACTCCTCTCTCATCTCCCCTGCCCGTTTTTCAAGTTCCAATGCGTTAAAATAAAAGTATTAACGGCGCTTATCTGATGCATGGGAGATTGTGAGAGCAAGCTGGCGAGCAGCCAGGAGCTAATAGCAGCATAAAGCAATTTGCTGAAAAAAAAGAATTAACATGCTAATTGTCAGGCTGGAGAGGTTGCTGGGGATCACAGAGGAGTAACCAAAAAAAAAAAAAAAAAAGAAGAAGAAAGAAAAAGGGACATTGATTACTCTAGGTTTAAACAATAAAGGGCTGAAGAAGAAAGAAAGGTTTTGAGGCAATTTTCTTCTTTTTTGTCCCGTTCTCTGCTGCCCTCCCCCAGCTCAAAACCTCCAGCCAGAGCCTCAGGCACTCACGGGAATTTATCCGAAGATCTCTTCCTTTTTAGCATCGTGTCAGTGCCAGCTGCAGCGCGGGCTCGGCAGCAGTGTGCAGCCCTGCCCTGCCCGGGCTGGAGCTGCGGCCGGGCAAAGCCGGGTCCAACAGAGCCCGCCCTGGCTGAGCCAGCGCTGGGAGCCTCCCTGAGAACTGAATCCCCAGGGAAGCTGTTTTGGGGTTTCTTTCCCGGACAAAGGGACGTCGCTCTTTTTTTAATTATTATTTTTTAAAATTTATTTCTCTCAAAGCAATGAAAGGAGTGCCTGGAAAGCTCAGCCTCTTAACCCCGGCTCCACAGAGCGCCGTTAACTGGGATTAGGAAAGTCAACTAATGCTTCCCAGCGCCAGGATTTCGGCAGCACGGAGCCTCCCGAGGCACAGACCCGCCACGGCAGCATCTCCGGGCAGCGGCTGCCTCTCTGCACAGATGCCGCTTAACCCCGGATTTCTGTGCGCCCCACTTGTGCAGAGCGGCTGCAGAGCCACCGTGCCGCCCCTCGGCGGGCGGTGAGCGCTGCCAGGGCTGCTCGGTGCCCGCCAGCCGGGCTGAAGGAGCTCTGCCGTGCCCAGCCCGTGCCGGAGCGGGGCACCGGGCTCGCAGCTCTCCCCGCACATCCCTGCTGACCGCAGATGAGCCAGAGCATCTCCCCAAACCCGGCGTGCTGGGGGAACCAGGGCCAGGACACGAGGTACCTGTATCATTTTTGATTAATATTTGTGGGTAAATGCTGTAAATATGAGCCAAGAAGATTTAAAAGAGAGTCACTGAGCCGTGCAAGTGAATTAATTTGCTTTAGACAACATGCGGCTGGGTTGCATCCTTTTACAAGCAGGAACATTATTTCTTTCCTATGCCAAAGACTGACTGCGTTTGTCCTCCTGTTTTACTTCTGCTGCGGAAGAAATTTAAGCAAGAACATGTATAGTGAATTGCTCAATTCAACCAGTGCCACCGAAGCTCACCTAATGATTCAGACCAACACGCCCTACCTGAGCAGCACTCCGAGACCCGTGAGCTCCTCTGCTCTTTACATGTCCACAGCCCGGGTGTTAAAAGAAGGGGAAATAAATAAGCCAGACCTGGTGACTTACATAATTCTATTTTTCTTTCTGTTCTTGACTGTGACATTCATTGTGTTCTTCATAAACTGCCAGCTGAAAAATTCTTTTTTTGCTACTCTTCCTTACGACAGATCGCTCAGGGAGGCGAGGAACCCGTGGAGGACACAAGCTGTCTGACACTTCTCATTCCAGCAGGAGCAGGCACCACAAACCCCGTGCAAAAAGGAGTTTGTGCCATGTGCCAGTGCATGGATGTGACCCCCTTTAGAGTAGTGGGCAGGAGGAGATTGCTCAAAATTATGCTGTATGCCAATCTGAGTAGCTGTAAATAAAAAGCTCTGTTATGAACTGAAGAGAATGCTTTAGCAAATTGATACAGTTTTTTGCAAAAAATTGCCCCGTGATTCCAGATTAAGCTCTGTGTGTATGCAAATGTCATCATCCACCCATTCAGTGTCCATACAAGGATAATTGTATTAACAACAATCTCTGATTTGGGCATCTGGTGGAGCTTGTTCCCCCATGTTTAGGAAAACAAGCATCAAATGTAAAAAACCAGTGTATTTACCTAACAGCTCCAGAGATGGGTTTCTCCCAACTGCTGCTGGAACAGCATGGTGATGCTGTGGGAGGCCTGCCAGGCAGGAGGAGAAAATGAAAAATGTTTATTTGGGCTTTTGATTGTCATTCTGTTAAGGCTGTTTTTGATGTTTGAATGCATCATTGATCAAGTCTTAAGTTACCACTTATGTGAAACACTTACTGCCTAAGGAATTTATTTTCATCTTTCATAAACTGCAAAGGAAATTATTTGCCACAGCATGAAACCAAAATAATCAAGATGGGGAGAAGTGGGGAAGGAAAATTAATTTATTTAATATTATGCAAACTATTGAAAAGTGTGAGGAGAGTGCTCCAAGTTTAATACACAAAGTGGATAAGTTCTGAAAGCCATAAAACACAGCTTTATAGGAATAGTAGCTTTACTTTGTCACTCCATGCTCTTCATCTAAACCTTGCCCAATTAGAAACATGAATTATCAATATTACAACAGCTTTATTCAACACTGGTCACTGGCAACCCTTACAATTTCAAATTACTATCTGATTTTTTTCAAAAATCAGAACAAAAAAAAAACCTTCTGCTTAACACTGGTAGGTGACAATCTATTTTGTAGATGCTGATTTCTTGTAAACTTGCAGTTACAGCTCAATTCCAGATGAAGCTGCATGAATTTGGAAAGAGTGTCCATAATTCCCACAAACTGCAGGCAAAGGGCTTGGGTTTTGTTGGTTTGGTGTGGGGTTTTTTTGTGTTTTTTGTTATTGTTGTTGTTTTTTAAATCAAATGGCTCAACATACAGGAGAATTGCAGCTATCCAGAAACACCCAGTCCTAAATTCTGTTTTAGCTGCAGTTTTGGGTATTGGATCATCTGAAATGGGTTTCACAGTGGTGTCAGATGCTGCTCCTAACCCTGTTCTTGAACTGCAGAGTACTCCAGATGTATATATGTGTACATAACTTATTTCATCCAAAGGAGGAGATTTTACAATGCAATTACACACACATACAGGCTTGCACTCAAGAACACAGACAAAATGTGTATATATGGAAGTCTGTTTGCAAGCTGCTTCTTTTTTAACCCAAGAATTGCACAGTTGATAACACTTCCATGTCATTGTCTTTGTTACCATGTTTTATTTTGCTCCAATAAGCTAAACTACTACATAACAGATTTCAATATTTTATTCCTTGATATGTGGCCAATATTTCCTCTGAACCAAATTTAACTGGTGTAATTCCAATTAATGCAGAAAGCAACAATAAATGCAAGTGTATTTCTCTCAGCCCTTTTTCAATAAATCAAGTTTTATCAAATCAGGCATTTCTTATTTATTTTTAAGTAATGACAGCTTGTTTTCAGCTACCAGCCATAATGAGTTTGGTCTAAGAATTTCTGCTGGCAAAAGCCTCAGAACCTGACAGAGCACACGTTGCTTTGCACTCTTTATTTAAACATTCAAGAATAGCTCCAGAATAATCCTATTTTTCTCCACAGCCTGGTTGGAGTAATACTACAGAAGAACCTGTCATGCTAAAAGTGTTAACTGATTTTCTGGGAATGCTTTTGTCCATGTCCTGTGTTGTTCTCATCAATATCCAGGATCATTTCTATTGCAGAAGAAAGTTTCATTAATGATATTCAGAAACATAGAACAGTTTGGGTTGGAAAGGCCCTTAAAGTTCATCCAGTACCAACCCCCCTGCCATGGGCAGGGTCATTTTCCAATGCCAGGTTGCCCCAAGCCCCTTCCAATCTGGCTTTGAGCATTTCCAGGGATGGGGCACCACCATAATTTCAGCCAATGTACGAAACGTGTAGAAAGCTTTCACCAGGCTCAGAATTCAAGCTGACCAAAAAATCCACTTTCCAACCACAGGCACACCAGGGAGGGACTGACAGACATGGCTTCACCTGCTGGAACTGTTTTATTGGATGTATGACACGTGTGGGGTCCCACATGGATTCTCCTTCCCTTTCTCTCACTCTCTGCCAGTCACAGTCCTGCCCCTGACACAAACACACTGTCCCTGCATCTTTGACCAAATCCCATTTTCTCCATGTGCCTTTTAAGAGCCTCTGAACAGAGCCCTGCAGCAGCCTCCCCCTCCTGATGGCTTTTCCTCCAGGCAGGCTGGAGGTCAAGACACTGCGACACTAAAGATGAGTGAAACACCAGGAATCTGGGCAGCGAGGCTGGGAGACGAAGAGTGGTCCCCGTTTAGAGAAATTCTTACTGTTACAGGCTTTGCTTTCCAAAGATGAGCAGCCCCTGTAACAGTTTGAGGAGCATTCACACACTTCACATGCATGGCTAAGCGCCCTGCTGAATCAGGACCTGAGAGGTAAAGAGGGTTCTAACTCTCCCTCTGGGCCAGGGAAACAACTCATCATTTGCACCTGGCAGCAGTGAGATGCTTTGAAGCTGATGCCAGCCTTTCAATGGATTATTATTATTGTGATATTTCATTCTGATGTAATATTTCATTCTGTTTGAACGCACAGGCAGTGCCCACAGGGAGTTTGTCACAGCCCTGTACTGAGTAACCAGGGAGAAACCACCAGCTCTGTGCTCCTCTGGGAGGGCATTCCACAACGGGGAGCTCACCCATCCATTGCTCTGCCTGAACACTGGGTTTGGTAACATTTTGGGGCCTCAGCAGGACCCATCTTTCTTCTCACATTTCCTGCTGCAAGTGGGCTTCCCCATGAGCATTTGTCCTCCTGCACTTCCCCCTAAGGAAAATCAGGAGCTGAGGGTTTTCTATACCCTATGCCACACAGTTTCTGCTGGAAAGAGCTCACCTGTAGGACTCACAAGTCAGCAAACTGCAGAGCAAGACAAAAGGTAAAGAATAAATCCTAAAAGCTAAATATTCCATGTCTGTCTGGGGAGTCAGCCTGGTAACAAAGCCAGTGCTGCACGGCAAGGCTGATCATGTGGCATGATCACAGTCCAAACCTGTACCAAACCACTGGGGCCACTGCAATGTGTAACTCACTTGCTTTAAGAAGTTTTATTTTCTAGCAGCTTCATGCCCTGGTGACCATGATCACAGTCCAAACCTGTACCAAACCACTGGGGCCACTGCAATGTGTAACTCACTTGCTTTAAGAAGTTTTTTTTCTTAAGCAGCTGCCCCACTCCCACAGAGCAGAGTGTGGCCAGAGCTGACCCCAGCAGATGAAAAGGTTCAGTTCAGCTCTGCCAAGGCAGTGACCCCACTGACCACTGCTCTGCCCATGGTCCTTGCTCTCCTACACATTTTGAGAGCCAGGAGCTTTACCTACCTGATATTTGAAATATTTAAAACAATGGAAGATGTATCAGACTGAGATGGTGAAAGGAAGAGACCTGGATTGTGCTCATGGCACATTTGTGTTTAGAAGGTTCTTTATTCCAGAAACTACAAGTAGAGAAGTTTGCTCTAAATCCATTAATCTATACAGAAGTTCTCAAGGGCAACAAGGTACATAGTCACATATTTTCAATATTTTTTTCCTCTTCTTGCCCTCCTTTTTGCCCTCCTGGAATCATAAAATTCTTCCCTTCAGGGCTGAGCATCTGCATAGAGCACCAGTGGCGAATTCTATTCAAGAACACAGCCTGGTCCATGCTAAGTTTGCACTTTAATATACTGCATTTACCTCATTTTCTTAGAGGAAACTTAAGAATTGCTTCTATTAAAATCTTTTAGTGGCACTGCTCACCAGAGACCTGAAATCTTAGAAAAAATAGTCTCCATTTGGCTCTTGCTGAACAGAGCCCATTTTGTCTGTTTTGTGCCTGAAGTGAAAGTCACACAGCCCAAAGCTGTCTCAAGTGGCTCCTCAGTTTGCCATCAGCAGTTTCTCTAAGAGACTTCAGAAAATCAGGAATTGCAGGAATGATTGGGTTACACAGTACTTATAATTTAGTCCTGGAAATAAATTCTATTATTGCAAACAACAAAGTTATTTCTCAAAAAGAGAATGGGGAAAAAAGATATTTATAAACAACAAAATAAAACTGGCCTTAGAACAGAAAAGCTGCTAATTTAAAAAGTATGGGGTTTTTCTTCCAATGCCTTGTGGAAAAAAGGAGCCCTGCAAGAAGCTGGAACACAGAATGGCTGGAGATGACCCAAAGCTTCTATCCCCCAGAAAGTCACCCTTCAACTCCCTGATCTCACACCTCCATGAGAGTGAAGTAGTCTTACAGAATTTGTCTTTGGGAGTGGAAATGTTATCAAAGTACACTTGTTGGAAGCTTATTTTCAAGACCTAAGTCTGAAAAAAAAAATATTTCACATTAACCTGCTGGTGTATATAAATCCCACCTGTCATTACGAGGCTTTCACCTTGCCCTCGCTGTCCCACATCTCCTGTGGCAGGAACATTTCTGTGCCGTGGTCCCAGTCTGTGCAATCCCCACTTGCAGTGCCGCAGCTCAGTCTCTGCTAACTCTGGTGACAGCCAAGCAGCTCCTGCCCGAGGCAGGGGGCTGCAGGAGGTGACAGTGACAGAGCTGCCTGTGACACCTCGGATGTGCTGCCCACTGCTCCTCCCTCCAGCAGAGCACGGGCAAATCAAACAGCAACAGAGAGCTCAGCAATTAAATGTGAAACTGAGCTGGCAGAAAGCTGCTCTCTGCTCCAGGACAAGAAAGATCTCTCCTGTCACAGGGTATGGGACACCCAGTGTTTAATTACTTTAATTTGCTTTTCACATAGCAGTGAACAGAAGCAGCCTCTGACTTATTTAACACACAGTGTAGGTTGAAGAGGGGGTGGAAGAGGGCTGTTTCACCCAAAACTTTTTTTCCATCTGTAAAAATCCTACGAATAAAGAATTTCAGAGGTTTCTTTGGCTACCTATTCTCCTGGAGTTGTTACTCTACCTCCAAATTCCCCAAAGACCAATAAGATTTAAAAAAGCCCCTCTTCGTTTCTACATTATTTAAAACTTTTAATAATCAAAGTATTTTGTTTCCTTGCTTTTTACTTAAAAAAACTATTCATAAAAATACACATAAAGATTCTGAAAAGCCAATAAGCCACTGAAACTTCATCTGAGATCTTGCTCAAAAATTAGGCTGTATATTCTGTGTAATACTACCACAGTAAGTCTTCTGGGGATTCTCATGGCAATCATTGTTTTAGAAGCAAACCCATGAGAATAGTACAGTATCAAAAGTTTAATTAAAAAAATACATTTTTACCTGAGTGACTGGATGCTCATTCAGAGGAAAAAAGCTCTTATTATTGAGAAAATGTCAGAATTTCAGAGTATTACTGCAGGTGGCAGTCTGCTGGTAAAACTAAATCCCAAAGCAGGAAGCCCAGACAAGATAAAGCTGTATCAACATTTTCATTTCAGTTTTATATTAAAGAAATCATCTGTCATTGTGGAATTGGGATTCAGTGTTTTTGTTTTACTCATCCTGCCAAAAAAAGATTTAATATATGCACACCACTTTTCACCCTCTATTTCTGCAGTATCTTGGTAAACAAGGGAAAAATTTTCTTCCCCTCAGTCTTTAAAAACAAGCTAATATGCAGTTCACTAAAGTTCTAAATGTACATTTTATTGCAGCAGCTCTGGGTTACAAGAGGTATCTGCTCAGCCCTCATTCACTGAAAGGCTCTTGGTCAGCAGTTCAAAGCTCAACACATACAGGTACCATGAGTTGTTTCAAAATGTTATGGTTGGCCACAGCAGGAAAAAAAACCCCAACCACCCCCAACAGACATCAGATTGCTGAGGTCTGACAGAAATACTTCAGTTGGTAGTACAAAAATAGTTCTAGAAGTACTATCAAAATGATACCATTTTGGCTGGCTGCATTCTACTCTTTAAAATGAAGTTATGAAATAATTTAAGTCTCTGCTTTTGAGAGCACAGCAGCTTTTATGTTACCAAAAAGCTACAGAAAAGTATTTTTAAAATGACAGGATCACCTTTGTGTGAGGAGGAATATGAACATGGAGAGGCATCAGCAGCAAGTTACACGTGATAAATTAACCCTTGTAAACAAATACTTGAGACACAGAGTTAAAGGAAATCAGAAGAATCTGTGGGGTTTTTGTTTTGTTTATTGAAATATGAGCAGCAGTATGCAAAAAATATCTTTAAAAACATAACATAGCAAAACCTAGTAATTTTAAAATTAACAAAATAAAAAGATGTTTAGAGTTAAATGAAAAAACCTCATTGCTAGAACTGTGTTTTCTACAATGTAAACAAAAGCATAAAGGTTATGCTTGCAACAAACACAGAAGCAGGTTTATGGAGCAGCACAAGAAAGCAACATTATATTGTAATCTGATGGTTTGGTCTATTGATTTGAATTCAGAATGGGAAACCCTCCTCAACAGAAACTTCACAACTCCAGAAGAAAGTTAGTCACATGTTTGTCATTTGAAGCAAAACATTTAGAAAATGGTTTGGTTTTGTTTTTGGTTTTTGTTTGTTTCTTTGCCTTTCCAGAAACCATCACCAGCAACACTTTGAGCAAGTAAAACAATATCCTGAAAAAAGTTACTATTTCAGACTAGTGAGGAAGCCTGACACATTTTAATGGCCTCTAG